TTCCCTGACTAAACAGCCCCAATTCCTTCAGTCTCTGCTAGTAGGGCATATTTTTCAAGCTCTTCATAAGCCTTGTCACCCTTCTTTAAACCTCCAAGACAGAAGCATTTTTGGACAATGGGGATCATTTTTCTTTCCTACAAAGAGTCCAGTTATGGATTTAAAGGGCTCTTGCACGCACACAGGCCAAATGCTAAGGCAGCTGTTAGAAAGGTGTTAGGCAAAACTAATAGGGATGGGTAGTACATTTTCCAGGAATGGAATGCATAGAGGTTTCAGGAGGAAGGTAAAACAAAAGCAAGCTTCCGGCAAGGAATTCCTCTTTGTTTCGTTTATGATCCCCTGGAACCTCTGGTTGTGAAGTTAAAAAGAAAACGTAAGGAGAATAAAATGAAATGACTATCAAACAAGAGGTAAAGATCTCTCCTGTGTATCTATGATCCAACACAAACAACATCTCTGAAATTTCACAGCTGATTTGCAGTCCTGAAAGGTTATATTCCTGCTTGTAAAACTAACAGAGACAGGATGCCATTCCAACATGAGGCAGCAGTGCAGTTACAAAAGCCCCTGTCCTGTTCCATCGATTCTAAAAACCTAGCTATACTCAACAACTTCAAAAATAACTACAACCACTCTTCTTGTCAATCTGAAAAAAAATAAATCCCTCCCCTCCCACTTCTGGCAATATCTGCAGGTCCCCTGGTGAGCAGGCAAGACTGAAGGTTGTCACACACAGCAGTTCAGTTTACCAGGGTAACACTATCTCATCCCACATAGAATTGGCTTCGTAAATTAAAGCAGGAAGGCATGGCACTGCACCACAGTTTCCTGCTTTCTACATCTCCATCTGCTATCAGCAAAATCTTAACTGTCTCAGCTGCTGTTGCACTTACAAATTCAGTTTTACACTGCAGTGCAAACTTGCACAAGGAACTGGTTAAAATAAGACCAAGAAGAAAACAACAGCCTCCCAAATGCCTCCTAATGCCATTCCTTAAAGAAATACAAGAGAAAAACTAGAATAGTACCTATCATCCCTATTTACTTTATTTTCTGGTTACAAAAGTACCGATTTTGGATTTCACATTGAAGTTTTCAGTCTAGAGAGATGCAGAAAACCAACCTTAAACCATACAAATAAGCACTGTAACTACACCTTCTACCTCCTGTTTTTTGATTGTGTAATGAACAGTAAAGCAGATAACTAGGAACAGAACAACAACCTCCACTCATTCCTGCTTACATTTCTCTACCCAAAAATATAAAGAAAGCAGAGAAGACAATGACCAGAAGCATATTTCATACATTTCTTACAAATTCAGCACCAGTATCTCTAACAAAGACAAGGTATCTGCAGTGACTGCCGCTAGTAAATTACACCTTCAACAATTTGCTCAGATTTATACAAACTTCTCTCAGAGAACCTTCCAGCTGACCATAGCTGCAGATTCATCAGCACTGAAAAGAGACAGAGAAAATAAATCACAAATACCTTTTCTGTTCCGCCTTGCATACTGAATTGCAGAGCATAAGAAGAGTATAAACCTGTATTTGTTTGGGTGTGTAAGTGTGTCTGCGTTAAAATTCAGAGCGGCTGTTTTGCAGATTTGAGAACAGGAAGCATCTCTGACAGAACTTCACAGTGAAAGTCCCCTGAAAAGCACTACTGCATATGTAGTGCATACACATCATTGCTACCTCCCCTTTCCTCTTTCTTTCCTACATCTGTCTCTTACTTTGCATTTTTTTCTGTGAAATTTAAATACACTTTTGCTGAAGACAGCTTCAAAAGCCTTTTCCATGTGAAAATGTAGCACTCTTGAAAAAACATATTTTTTTCTTAAATAACACTTCATGTTAACTTATTTTAATGTCATCTTTGATTTGTAGATCTTTTTTCCCAAGCTGTATGTATGAATGCATGGTAACCATGACCCTTCAAGCCCCCTGACCGTGTTAATTGAGTGGTTTCAAATCAGCCCAAACATTTGATTTTTGAAAAACCCAACAATTTCTGTGGAATGCTATCATAAATTCATTCAAAAGGAAAGACCAATCACGGGAAGGAAAGAAAAGTTATTTTCCATAAGCAGTCATTGCTCTCACTTGAAAGCAGCATGCAAAGTATCTCAAGAATTTCAGTACTCATATTTACCTCTAAATAATGTTCTCAAGCAACCGCTCTTACAACCAGTTCTGATAAGCAACACAAATCTGGAGTTGCATTCAACTCCACCATTCCTCCATAGTGTCCCTTTTTGCCTGCCTCTCAGCCACCTTCCTAACACCAGAAAATAGCTAGGGCTCCTTGCAGTAAGCCATGAATTCATTGCTAGTGAGCCTAACTGCACAGACTGAACTGCACTCAGAGCACCCCCCACGTAGCTGTAGATGCCCCTGCTCATTGCAGAGGACTTGGACTAGACGATGTTTGAAGGTCCTTTCCAACTCAAATGATTCTATGATTCTGTGACAACCAAAAGAGAATGTCTGCAATTACTTGTAATCTCAACGGGCAGAAAGATTACATTCAATAAACTCAGCAATGGCAATGCTGTTATGGGTGAATATATCTTCCCATGTTTAAGGATATTTTTCCATGAGAAAAACTGAAGAAAGATGAAGTTTTTCACTGAAGATATTCACCAATCACATTTTTAGGAAGCCTGTATTTTCTATCACGTTACCTAATTTAGAGAGGGAAAGATCAGCTACACAACAGTGCATCTGACTTTGCCTTCAAGCATGATACGAGAATGAGGAAGAACTTAATGTGGTTTTTAGTTCTTCAGAAAACAGCTCTCAGTGCTGAGTTCAGAAAAAAATTAAGAAAAAAGAGAAAAAAAATGTACCAATCCTGTATGTGAGCACAGAATACAAAACATGTACTGTTGTTCCAGAACTTCCGACTGAAACCAAACTATTTTTTTAATCATTTGACTGGACACCACAGACTGAAGTCATTTTGGAAAGAAGAGGCCATAAAAATTAGGTATTAATGGAAAGAACTTGCCTTCATACATATGTTATGATATTCTTATAACAGAAATTCACAGGCCACATTTATTTAGGTCACTGAATTCTACGCTCCTAAAATCAGCAGCAAATTTCAAATATCAGCCAGGAGAAAGCTTAGAGAAAACTGTTTTTATCCCAGAGAACTTTTCAAGTGTCTTATGTTTCAGCTGGGACGGAATTGTCTTCTTCAGTGTTTGGTATGACGTTATGTTTTGGCTCCAGGAGAAAAACAATGCTGATAACACATCAATGTTTATAGGTGCTGCTAAGCAGTGTTGCACAGAGCCAAGGCCATTCTCAGCAAAGGGCTCAAGGAGCTGGGAGAGAACAGAATTAGGGCAGCTCACTGGAAAAGGATAGTATCTATCTATGTACAGATAGATAGATTTGTCATAATTATTATCCTTTTCTCTATGTTAGTAAACAGTAAATAGTTTTATCTCAACCCACGAGTTCCACTTTTTTTTCCCTGATTCTCTCTCCTGTCTCACTGGGAAGAGGAGAAAGTGAGTGAACAGCTGTGGTGCTTAGCCACCTGCTGGGTTAAACCACAACAGCAGTCTACCAAAGTTAAAGAAAAATATTGATACATAATGAGTCCCAAAATTCTTTCTTTCCTCAAAATGTGGATTTTCAGAGATAAGCAAGAAACAAGGTGTCCATTTTTCCCCTTCACTCCTTTCATATCCTTGAGTCTCTGACATCCTCCTCCTCATTGTTGCCTGACAGATAAAGAGCTATTCTTTACTCTTGGCAAGGATGAGAACAAGTATTACTATGTGGGTATATGTTTTCCTATTGCAACACCTGAGGCTTCCAAGTCCCCCCGCTACAGAGCCTACAGGTTTGCCAAAATACCACTGTCCCAAATTATCTTGATGTATGGAATGCTGTTGAAGAAAAGTGAAATAACTTAATTACATGTAGATGTATAAACACACAACAGGCTCCCAGTTAGAAGAAAAAAGACTGACACCCTTTGAAAATGGAAAGTCCCTCTGAAACTGCAGTAGCAAATTTACAAAAAGCCCATTCATGTAGTTTATTGTAGCCTTTGTTCTCTTTTCCATAGCTGGAGAGATAGGTTTACAGAGATTTATAGAAACTAACAGCCTAGGTCTACATTTACATATCATGGAGGCCCAGAGATACTCAAAGAATGCTTGGAAGGGACCTTAAAGATTACCCAGTTCCAACACCCCTGACCTGAGCAGGATTGCCAACCACTAAATCAGGCATTAGATCAGGCTGCCTGGAGCCCATCTAACCAAGCCCTGAATGTCTTCAAGTGAGGATGGAGCATCCTCAATCCCACTATCCAGGTCATTGATAAAGATGTGTGCAAACATATCCAAACACACAGATGTTCAGTAAAAAAGACATACATGCATATTTTTTCATTTCTAAAACTTTGAATGGCTTTCCTCAAATCAGTATTAGTGGTAGTTATTTAGTAGATTACGTGAAATACAGAATAACAATACATTTTGATACATTTTTTTGTAGGTAATTGTTTAGAAAAAGATCCACTTTAATTATTCCCAGCTAGTTCATCTATCAATAAGTATTCATATAAACCTTCTAGAAAACCTAAGGAAGCAATCTGGAGAAGATGAAGCAACAGCTACAGAGAGAAGATAGTATTGCAAACGCCATAGAAAAGACCACATATTGTTTTATTTCTTTTGACATATAGGTTGCTCTAGAATGATTACTTTGCTCCCAGACAACACAGCCAGGCGTAACAACTGAAAAGCAGAGAATGGCAGGGGTAGTTATTTTCACTTTCAGGATATTGATACTATATTGTCTTTACAATAAATCAGTCTTTCCTTACTCATGCAGCCCCCATGGAATATTATATTGCAGTATATCACAGTCTTGGATCGAAGAAATATGATATCAAGGCTGACAATCTGAACAGCACAGTACACAAAACATAGACATACAACACAAGAACAGTTCCACTTTGTACTCACTCTTACAAAGTTGTCAGGGAACAAACCTCTTCTGCCTTTGAGCTGTCCTTCCCACCAGCCTCCATCATCTTTCTTGATATTGGTGATTATGTCACCTACAGTGATTGTCAGCTCATCATCATGTTGAGCTTTGTAGTCGAACTCCACAATCGCCTCCACTAAAAGAGAAAAGCACACATTACAAAATCAGTGACTGTACATCTACATTTCTGCGCATTCGAAAGGAGTAAGAAACACCAATTCGATCAGTGAAAGTAACGTAATTTCGTCAAGCAAGAAAGCACATAAAATAGGCAACTTGTAACAGTAGCATTTTGGTGGATAACTGCTAAGTGAGGAGGCAAAAAAAAAAAGGAAAGCACACTAATGCTCATCACGGCTGAGGCAACAAATGGCTTACATTTTTCAGTTTGTGCAGCTTCAGTATAACTACTCCAGTAGCATTACAAGGGTTATTTCTTGGAAAACATTTAGCAATATTTCTTTGACTTCTGAAGTATTTTCTTTCTGGACAGGTTACACGAGCATCCCAAGCCACTGCACCAATTTGCTAGATACATCCCTGATAAATTAAAGAGCATTTATCAAGATTTTTTTTTTTTTTCTGGTATAATGCTGAGTTCACTGTTATTTACACAGAAATGCAAAGCTCTGGTGCATGAACAATGCTCTCATGGCGTTTTACCAACAGGAGAAAAATTTCCTTTCATTTGTAAATCTTTATCAGAGGATGCAAAGATGAAATACTGCCGCTCTGAATGCCTGCTATCAGAGGTTATAAGCTCACTACCACTACATGGTGAGTCATTTCTTTTCCTGGAAGGACCCCCGAAACCACACACACAGGGCAATATATATTGCAAAGTCGCAGTAGAGAATTAGTGAAGTAATAAAGACAGAAAAAAAAAAATCATTTGAAGAATCAAAAAGAACGGATTTGAGGTATTCAAATATAGTAGCAACGGTTATATTTAGCAATTCATCAAACATGTTGTAGGAGGGGCCTGACCGGCAAGGTCACAGATAGTCGTATTTGTAATGCCTTCCCCGTTTTCTTCAGTGGAAAACCAGGCCCCAGGATGTTCCACCAACCTTCACACTGCAACCACTGAAACAGAAACTGGAGAAGAGGTATGTGCTTTCTACAAGAATGACTGCGCTGCGTAAATTCGGCAAGACCAGGCCATCAAACAGGCAACACAACTCACAAAGCAAAGCTAACAGACCGTGGAAATGTTCTGCCTAACTACAAAAGCCCCAAGGAGTGCACTGAATTAAGCTGACAGGAAAGCACAATTATTCCTTTCCACTCCCCCAAAATGTCACACAGACAATGCTGAACATCTTCCTTCCTCCCCCAGACCTTGCAAGTCACAGCTAAAAGAGCATTCTGACTTACAGATACATCGCAGGCACAAAGCTACAGCTGATTATATTTATCTATCGCTTCTTTTGTGAAGACAAAAAACATACAATAACCACATACATGATGTTCATAAGAGCCCTGCTATCTACTACAATAACAGCAGGAGACAAAGTGAGGCACCACATACACTACAAGTTAACATGCAAAATAGAACTGAAACTTAAGACATTCAGGCTGGGAAGAATCTCAGAGGGTCCTTCTGAGGACTTTTTGTCCAGTTCAGGACTAGCTCTGAGGTCAGACCTAACTGCTTTGGGTCCTTTGTACCACATGCTAGATGCATTAGAGCACAGACATTTCAGAGAAGAACCCAGCCATCCTGATTTCCAGAGAGAGCATGAGAGCTTTCCCAATAGTTCTTATGTGCACTTCTTTGTTTTTATACAGGTATGTTTTGGGATGGGTTGCCTTCAGTTCCGTTTTGTTGATCACGGGGTCCCTACTGTTTCCTTATACCTTTTGCTTGAGTGTTGGTTATCTCCCTCCCCCACCATTACTAATTTAAACCTCTTCTCATCTGATTGGCTGGTCTGTTAGCAAAGATGCTTTTGTCCCCCTCTGGCGGATCACATCTTTTTCAAGCTACCCTCAAAGAGGGTCCCCATGGTCACAAAACTAAAACTCTGTTGCTGACATTAGCTACATAGCAAATATTTACCTGCTGGATCTATCCATTCCTTCTCACACACTTCCCTCTCACCAAAAAGATTAAGGACAAAACTGCCCAGGCACTTAATGCCCTTAACCATGGCCCCAGAGCTATGTAGTCACTACTGACAGCATCATTAGAGCCTACGTGGTGGCAGGGCAACAGGGCACGTTATGGGTGACACAAGCCTCATCAGCCTTTCCACAACATTCTAGACCCAAGCAGCAAACCTCCACAGATGACAGGTCAGGTCATCAGATAGGAGCCTCCAACTTCCATAGCAGAGAATTTCCCTACTACTATCACTTGTCACTTTCTCCTTGAGGCTCGGGTTTAGCTGGCTTGTGTGACTTTTTGGACTGAGCACCCAGTCCTCTTATCAACTACAAGAGCACTGAAACTACTCTGCAATTGCACATCCTAAAGTACAACAGTAGCAAGGAACTATAAACTTCCAGCTTCCAGACTTGCCATCCTGGGAGTCCCCAACAGGCACAGATTCTGCTGGCCTCTCATTAAGGAACATTGGATGTTTGGACTCTTACGGTCTCAAAGACTTGGAGAAGGTCTGAAAAGCCCAACCCTTTGAGCTCAACCATCCAAACCATTATTAAAACCCACCTAGCTGTCCTGCAGCATCTCACCACAACCGCTGAGGCATTTCACACCATCTCTGGTAGAGTTTCTGGATGTCTTCCATGCAAACTGCTACACTAACTAGAGAATCTGTTGAGCTAACCATTGCAGTTAGCACAACCCAGCGGTGGCCAGAGAGCTGTAATGATGAGGCGGGAAAGAAGCAAGCATCAGGCTGGCTCGGACTACTGATTCTTCAAACACTTCTCAACATTCAGACTTCAACAAGACATACTGAATGAAGGAAGGCAAGCAACTCTCCCATTCTCCAAGCAGTGGAGTTATCTTCTTGAAGTCTGCCTGCCTTGCACTAAATCTTAAGCAGACAGCTGTTCTGCCACTTTTGTTTTATTAGAAGTTTAATTAAACAAACAAAAAACCTCTTTACTGCACAGGCTCTTCTCTGTCTACAATTTTTTCAACTTATTGAAAAATTTATATAAATATTTTTAAATGCTGTCTCTTCTCGGAGGATTTGATTACTGTAACATAAGTGTGTGTAAACCAACAGGAACATACAAGTCACCAAGAATGGACCACACAATTAAGATGTTTATAAACTCTATAAGAAAACCAAGTGCACAGTTTGGAAAGAGGGGTTAAGAGTACACCTAGCAAATGTGCAGACTGCGGCAAACTGGTGGGAAGGTACTCAAACTTCTCATTCAAAACACTACTGAAGAGCATATGAAAGCCTAAAAGTGTTTCATAATTCACAGCCCCATAAAATTGCAGTTTTTAAATCATGTTCACTTTCTAAAATGTACTAAACAATGCCATCTTCTCAAACTGAGATTTGAAACATTCATCCTGCCAGTCAAATTTAGTCTTTTTTGTTTCTCTTGATGAGGAATTTTGTCTTTACAGAAGCTGGACTGATATTGGAGGCAATACTGATCTGGGCATGCTAAGCGGATCTCAGTTTTGCATCTGCAAGTAAATCATACCTCATTGCTGAAGTGCTGAGCTTGACTTCTCCTCAGGAACAGGGCTAACTAAGTGCCATGGTTTGCACAGTGATTTATGATGTGAGAAAACACTCCATGGACAGTGAGCTCAAACTAGTTTTGTTTGTTAATCAACAAAGGCTGGTCGTAGGCATGGCTCTGCCAAGGTAAACAGCTTGTTACATTAACAGCCAAAAAAAATCCCTTTTAAGCCAAAAAGCAAAAGAAAGCAAAATTGGAGCAGGCAGATCTTGCCTCTCTTTATGGTGCAGTTTCCTTAAAAATGCCTGAAAGACAAATCTGTCTCAACTTACAAACTCAAGCTGTAAGACCTTTTCTATAGGAAGAAGGCATTTTTCAGTTTAAGAATCATTTAGAAATCCAAGTATGAAATCCAAAATGAAAAGCTATTCAAGTTATTTTGATCTGAAAGGGGAATGCTTATCCTTACGCTGATAAAATCAGCTATTCCTAACATTATATTACCATCAGTGCAGATTGTAATAGCAAAACTAGTGAAATAAAGTCAAAACTAGTTATTACCAGCTCTGCTGGAAACCGCCACCGTCCAACTCATTACTGCAATGTCAGGGACAAAGATTTATATATATATTTAATTTAATGCTAAGTGGTTTGGGCTTAAAATAATAAAATTGAAATATGAAATGTTATGAAGCAGAAATTGAAATGGAACCTTTCAGTCATATTTTTAAAAGAATGCATATCTGGAAAAACTGTTGATAAAGGTTAACTATTCCCACCTTTTGTTCCCTGAATTAGTCTTATATGCACATGGAATTATTTGGTTGATCGTTACAAAAGCTTTTCCTCTACTTATTTGTTTCTTTAGTAAAATCTAACCTCTTCAAACTGAATTAGTCAGAACATTTTTTTTAAGCATGCCACCTAGATTTGAAGAGATGAATGTCTCCGTTTATGCTATTTTCAATTACTGTACAGTGGCTTTCCATGCAAAAAATGAATCTAGAAAAGAAACAGCGATTTGCTACTCTGCAACAGAAACTACATTATTAAATCAGCTCCTGCTCTTATCTGAAGTGTGTAGGCACAATGGAAATGTTATTAATGTCTTTGGCATACTTCCACCCAAGTAACAGCATCCATATGGCAGCACCACATTCTGCAGCAGCATGGTTTCACACATGATTGCAGACCTTAATCCTAGTGTACACAGCAGTGTACACAGCAGTCAAAGAGTTAAGAGTTTATCTCCTACAAGTTTACAAAAAAAAAAACCAAAGCACCAAAGAACTGAAAGTATTCCATACTGAAGTTTTAAATTAGTGTTCCAATGACATTTCTTCAGAAGACAATGCAACAGTGCTTTTCTTTTTTGCATAAACCTAACTGTTCATAAGTAACAAAGACTAACAGCGTGAACAGGCATCCTACCACAACCTTACTGTTACACCACACTGCATAAGCCTCCATGGGAAGGTCTCAGTGACTACAGAAAGCTTCAAGTTCTCTACCACCTAC